CTACTTTTCAAAGTTTCAAATCACCATAAATTTATTTACCAAGTCCGGCGCGTATCCTCGATTGACGGTGAGCACGGTCTGCGTGGTGATCCCAGTCACGCCAATCACATCTCCATTCGTGTCAAGAACTTTTCCCTCGCCGGCCCACTGGGCCAAGGGACGGTGGGATAACCGGCCGTACCTTGTTGTCTTCACGTCTAAACAGAAATTTTAACAGCCACTATCGCCAATCTAACCTTCAACCGCCGTCACACCCGGGATGTAGGACTGATGAGCCTCTGCCGTGCTCAGAGATTTCCGGTTTCCCACTGACGCCCGGCCCTTCGCTAAAAAAAAACATAAATTTGGAATCAGGGAAAAAGGTACGGATTCGGAATCCGTCGGCGTCAAAGGTTGAGCGATTTTCCTCTTCATGTTCGTCCAGCGTCGCTAAAAACAAAAGTTAATATGAGAAAAAAATACGATCAATCGAAAATCAACCTCAAATCCTTACATAGGCGCTTCGTCGAGAAAGCCGGTTTCTTGGCAGCATGAGAAGTGTTGACTTGATTCGCCTGCTTCACATTGGCCTTCGTTCGGTGCGTATTGTTCTCCTCGATCTTTTTCGGCGGTCTCACAGGTGAGGCTTCTTCGTCACTTTCCCGCTCGTCGTCGGAAAACGCCAGAATAGGCCGGCTTGGGGGCTTATCCGCTTTTCCAAGGGACTTCCTAGAGAAAGCCGAAACATAATTAGGCAGAGGTCGGTTACCTCGGCTTAGACACACGAACGGGTGTGAAGAGACATCGCGGCGTTTTTGAAGTTTTCTGCCCGGGTTCCTCTTCATCATCAGATTCATCAAGTTGGGGCCGGACGTATTTTCTAAAACAGCAAATTTCATCGAAAGCAGGCAAAACTCACTGATAGATGTCGAGAAGCCTCTCTTTCCAGTCTTCCGGGAGACCATGAGCAAAAGTTTTGGCCAGGCTGGCCGGTAGCCCGAATTTAACTACATCGTCAAATGCCCCGAGGGCGTATCTAAAATAGTTTTTAGAAGCGCATGCAAAGATACCTAGAGCCGGAGCGCGTATAGACAATCGTCGAGCCCTCGACGTGAATGACCTCATTCGTGGTGACGTCTTCCCACACGCCAGAATCCTCCCTAAATCTGGGGTTTGGAAAGCCCGCGTTTCTTACTCGTAGACCATGCCAGTGATGGAGATCGCTGGGTGATCAACGTCTGGGTTCGGGGCGTAGCAGAACATCCAGCCCTCCAAGGCGACAAGCGGATGCTGCATGGCCTCGTTGATGATGTCCGAGATATCTTCTTCAGCGGGGACTGTTGCTGCTTCCGGGGTCATGGCTGTTTTCGCAGGAGACTTGAAAAGTACGCTTTTCCGGCGAGGTCGCGGTGCTTCCTAAATAAAAGAAGATATAGGCAATGCCCAAAATTGCAGTTTGTGGAAGTGATCCGGTACGACCCAATAACCAAACAACAACACATTTTTTAAGCATTTTTACAATTTTTAGGTTAAAAAGTTTATCAAATTATAAATTTTCCGAAAATGTTTGAGTTCTTGTTCAAAAATGTACTAAAAATAGCCAAAATCATCGTATTCTCAAATTGTTTTATAACTTCCGAGAAATGAAAAACTAGTAAACAAAACTAAAAATACGTTAGATATAATCAATAGGAAGAAACAAAAAATCAGCTTCCCCCCGCTAACAGTCCAGTACCAAAAATTCAACACTGGGTTTTTCGAAATATTGAAACCTAGATCTGCTATTTTTCAAAATATGCTAGCAAATAAATCCGCCCCTCCGCACCTCGGACAGCCCGTTTTTCTCCTCATCGACAACAGCGATAGATTTGCGCAGAATGCTTCGTCGTTTCTCCTCGCGGCTCCCCTCCGGTTTTTCTTGGCTCAATTCCTCCCGACCCGTATGGACAAAGCGCGGGCTTCGCCGCGGAAGTTCCGTCGACTCGCTAAAAACGCAATGTATTTTCGGAAATCAAAGAATCCATACCGATTCTCCTCGGTGCAAGGGCTTGTAGGCGGGACACGAGTTCGATCCGCCGTCTGCGTGCAGTCACCCCGAAACGCTTTTGACCGGCGAACCGACTTGGTCATCATTGGCCCATGGATTTGAAGGGACGACTTTCTGGGAGGCTAAACGAAAAAAATGAGCTATGAGGGATGAAACCAACAATAAGTGAAGTCCTGTCGTAAACGGATGTGCCGAGGACGGTCTCGCTGAATCGATCAGAGTCCGGCGCCCAATGCGACTTGTCGTGGTCGGCCATGTAGTCCTCGACCAGCTCCTTCCAATTGGCCGGGAAGCCCTTCCGGAAGTGTTCGGCCAGCTCGGTAGGTACTCCTAAAATCAATTGAAAACCGGAACTTTGGTTTTTTAGTACTTTTTTTGGGGTATGAATCTTTTCCTATGTTTAGCGTCTCGATATTAACATATACTAAGTATTTATAGTAAAAATCCACTATCTGAGTGAAAAAACTATTATTAAAACGTTAAAAACTGCTAAAAATTCTAACTTTTGCTCGAAAAATCTATATTTTTTATTTTTAATAGATTTTTGCGAAGTTCTCAAGCGTAGTCGTAAAAGCTATTAATAGCCCCTCTACATTAATATCACAAAATTCGGATCTTTCCCCCGGGAAAAAAAACGAATTTTTTTCTTGTATTTACCATTGCAAAGGGCCGTCGGCAGATCCATCCCACCAATGAGGCGAAAGGCGCGCGTGTTTGTCATCACGCAGACGGCAGACTCCCTAAAACAGTCGTTTCAAAAGTAACGAGCCGAAATTTACCTTTCAATTATGGTGCTCGAGATGTAGCGTCGGAGCGTGTTTTCCTGGTACTGCAGAAAGCCGGCCACGCGCAGGGAGCGTTCCTGGGGTACTAGCTAAAAAATAAGGGTTGGAAAAGGGAAATTATAGCCACCTGAATGTACCATAGCTTGAGTTCGAGGAGCTGCAGCGTCACATTCTCCACATCGTCGCTCATGTTGGGGCCGTGCCTAGAAAAAAGAAATGAGATTAAATTGTTCGAAGCGAGAAAAAGAGAGAAAAAGGATAAGGAAAGCAATCCAGACTTTCTAAAATTTCTAAAAATTTTTAATTCGGCCTCACCTCGATTTCCGAAATACTACACTGTACGCTCGCGGGTTATTCGTCATTTAGCGGAATGTTTGGCATTTGGCCAATTTTTATTTACAAAAAGATTTATTTCTGCAAAACTTCTAAAATTGTGACAAAAAAAGATGTTTCCGCTTTGCACCATTGGTTCGCTTTCCGTTCTAATAAATTTGTTTTAAAAATCTCGATTATTTCGATTTAATTAGCCCAACAAACAAAACGCAGGTTTCGCTCTCTCGCTGAGCTAGATAAATGATAATAAAATTAAGCATAAGCTTTTATTTTGTGGATTCCCCGCCACTCACTAGGGAATGGTCTCCACTCGACATCGAATTTCTTGTTGCAAGTTAGCTCATTTTGTAGATCTCGACGAGACGAATCGTTTGATGTAACTTTTAGCTGCGGATACCTTATTTTAACAAAGTTACAGCCCATTAAAGTTTTTGACCTACCTTCATAAGCCCTCCCCGCATCCGCTCCACCGTAGCCTGGTGGCCTAGTGGCGTAGTAGGCCGCCTCTGGGGAATCTAACGAGGGTTCGAATCCGCTCACGATTTTTATTTTTTGCTTTTTGGTCCTAACATTCCTTTTTTGATTTTCAAGAGGTAGACAAACTCTTTTTAGATTATTTAACCTTTATGAAAGTCTTAGAACGATAAAACGAGCTTCGGAGAATTTTGGGCTGAAGGCACAACCCCATAATGCTCATACCTTGGCAAATTAGTTATTGGTAGCATTCAAATGCCTTTGTATTCGCCAGGGGCGTTAGTATTTACTAGGGAATAAAATATACAACATTTCAAATTTTATTAAATTTTTTTTGGAGGTATAAAATATACAAAATCCATTCCAATGGCCATCCTTCGAACAAAAAAATTGTAAAGTTTTTCCGAAGCCGTTTTTCTTACCAAAAACTTAATGGTGGTTAAATAATCTAAAAAGAGTTTCTCTAACTCTTGAAAATCCAAAATGGAACGTTAGGACCAAAAAGCAAAAAATAAAAATCGTGAGCGGATTCGAACCCTCGTTAGATTCCCCAGAGGCGGCCTACTGCGCCACTAGGCCACCAGGCTACGGTGGAGCGGATGCGGGGAGGGCTTATGAAGGTAGGTCAAAAACTTTAATGGGCTGTAACTTTGTTAAAATAAGGTATCCGCAGCTAAAAGTTACATCAAACGATTCGTCTCGTCGAGATCTACAAAATGAGCTAACTTGCAACAAGAAATTCGATGTCGAGTGGAGACCATTCCCTAG